AGATAATCTGATACTACGGGTGGCCAGTTGCCCGCAGGACTTTGGTCAGTTGGTTGAGGTTCCTTCCATATTCACATAGTGCCTCTGATTTAAAGCAAAACTCGCGGGGAGAGAATGCTGGTTTAAGATCTGATATATTCTATGCCATTTATGTCTGAATTCTCTCTCGTGTGCTGTTGCCATCTCAACAGATGTCACTATGTGACATAGCACCTTACGCTGGATTCCTGAACCCTCTCTGGGGAATTTTCAGGTTGACACTTCGTAGTTGCCTGCCATTCCGTTATGGTCTGAAATGGAACTGATGTGAGTTGATGAACGATTGGGGAAGACTCCCTTGTCACTGTGGGAGATTAGTACTGATTTAGTATACCTTTTACTTTAAGGGAAGTTCTCGGTGCTCTTTCCATCTCAACAGGATGCATATTGTTTCATGCTACGCGACATATGGTTCAGCCACTCAATTTTTCGGAATATCTCGACATACATACATAGGGATCCTGATTTATTGGCTGTGTATTTCGGACTACCAAATAGAGAAGTATTTGATGCGAAACAACAGGGCCTTGTGATGCCTGAGCGGTTCGTTAAATGATGGGAACGCTACGGCATAGCTCATGACAACGCTTATACCTGATGGTACATCTCGGTATTACATCGAGATTATGGATTTATAGGGTGGGTCTGTTGGGGTTTCGTTCTGATTCGACCGGCACTTTTTCGCCTGTCAGCGTATTGTTCTTGCCATACCGAAACATGATCACTTGGCAAGAGATTAGATAGCTCGACTACTTCAGCAAAGTGTTTGTACATGGACCGGCACAGCTATGTTCAAAAATTGCCACCTGTGTGTTTTTATCGAAGTCACTCGGGACCGCGTGATAGACCGTTCTCAAGTCTACTCAGTGGATGAAAAGGACCGTCAAGACAGGTGTTCACGTTAAGACATACTTGTCCCGACAGACTATAGGAATTGTAATAACACTAAGATGGGAAAGATCATCAAGGTAACATGCCAAGAGGTCTTGGATTACAAATATAAAGATAGTTACTTTTGTAAAAATTGTTGATTTCTTCATTGTAGCCTGTTAGTTATCTTTGATGACCACTAGAGATTGGAGCATGACCGAAAGGATCTTCAGAGAAGAAAGATCAATTGGGAACTTTTAATTCATTGTCTATAAATCCATATTTTTATGTACCGAAGACTGGAAGGAAAACAAAAAAATTCTCATAATCTGATCTACCAATCGGCTTTGAATGCTGTCTAAGCTCAGACAGCAGAAAATTGGAAGTCGGAAAAGCAGTTATTCATATTAAATGATATTAACGTGTAACCAGAGGCTTATCCGATTGTTTACTGGAATAACTAAATTTCATAACGCAACCGTAGCCTTTGTAACGACAACAATCTGGACATATTTGTGATCGGATTCAACGATCACGTAACGATATTTTTTGTTCTTTGGTGTTCTTGAGATGAATCTGAATATACTTCTTCGCTCAGTCCTAATATTGTATTTTTAGATATTTCTTAACATATTTTGTAAACCGAATAAGTGGATATTGTGCTGAAAACTGTATGATTATTTGGGATATTGGCTCAGGCGGCATCATGCATCGGCGGGCCTAAGAGTCATAATTATGAAGTTTTTAGGCTTGTTGCCCTATTGACAAGCCTAAAAACTTCATAATTATGACTCTGCGATTCAGAACTGCGATTGACAACTTTAAGACTCTTTCTAGACGGATCTGATCAAGAATTTATCACATGTTGACAGTGATCTTGGCGATGGCAATTGGTCTCATCAGAATTTCGATTGACCACTTTAAGACATTTTCTTGTCGGAGCCATTAAAGACCGAATGCAACTGATCTAGAATTTATCACATCCATAAGGCTAATATCGTCCGAGTTATGTTTAAAATCAACCGTCCGAGTTATGTTTAAAAAAACTTTGTATATGACCTTTAATAGGTCATTCCAAAATTAACCTATTTAATGATATTGGTTACTTAAAAATGTTTTTTCGCTTAAAACTTTCGGGCAACCCTTTACTTATTACAAATATATTTTGAATATTACATCCAAATTATGGCAGAATATAGTAAGCTTTAAAAACAAGTAATTGCTGTGTCATTCCGGGCATGTATAATAAAAACATTGTTTGCTTCTTGTTGTTGGTTTTCATGAACATTATTTTGGCACGATAAACGAGTATTGAAAACAACATAACATTTTACAATAATACGTACAACAAAGAGTGACATTGTCAGCCATACAGTCACCAAAACATCACACTAACTAAAATTTACCACCAACACCATTCACTCAACAAAATCATACTCCTCTTACTACTGACGTTCTGCTAACTATTTGGGGGGCCTAAGGAAAAGACGGACAGACAGACATAAAGATATTTAAATATAAATTCATACATATGTATGTTTGTACTATATATGTATATAAATCCCATATTAACTGCTATTTTATTATTGTTTTTGGTAAACGAAAAGTGTTTAAAATTCCCAATAGCATGTCTTAAGAAACACACAAAAAAACAAAACGGAGGAAAACAACCAACTACTCATTGGAAAGGGTTTCGCTGTGGTATAGGTATAGTATGAAGTTAACGAAATACTACTCGACCACGTTTGCAACAGTCCCCAAAAAAACATTTAAACAAAACAAAACAATAAGATTTTTAAACAAAATGTTTAAACATGTAAATAGGAAAAAGTTTTTAAATTCAAAAATCAATCGCAAACGTATATAGAAAAACAAACGATTTTACCGAAAAACACACACATACAAACAAACACCAAAATTAAATAAAATAACAATAATAAAAAACAACGACAAAAATATTCAAAACGAAAACATCATTTTTGACACATTATTTAGCAATCATTGTTGTACGATTGACAATTTCAATATGATCTGAGTGGAATATTAAAATCAATGACATTTTAACCGAACCAAACAACTAAGTGAGTAAATAACTGACCAAGTGACACAACGTCTACAAAACTTTAAAGGCAGACAGACAGACGGACATTGTGGACTAACTGACGTTTTAGATAAAGTTCATTATTAAGATTTTGTTTCTTTAGGGTTCTTTTTGTTGTTTGATAGTATTTTCGTTGTTGTTGTAGTGTATTGAACAACATTTGAGGTCGTTTTTCCTTGTCACGTCTTTAACGAGGGAACATCATTTAATACTTTGTTTTAGGCCTAAATTACAATGAACGTGACTATTAGTGAAGCAAAAACAAAAATTTATATAGAAATACTATTTTAAAACACTATTGATTCATGGTGGTACTACAAGTCAATGAATTTTCAATTTTTATTACTCAAATAATGTCAAATACATGTGTAATTAGTTGCGTTTTCAGGGTCTTTCTTTAATAGTAAATTTTTCTATATAAATTCAATCGATAAATCTATTATATAATGGCAATTTAATGGTAAATAACCGATTCACTAACTAATAAAATAAGTTCATCTTTGAATTCGTATTTGATAACTACTCCATTTATAACCTATCAAGATATCGTTTGTTAACCCTTTAAGGCACATATGTATATTATCTGTCTATTTAAACTACGATAGGGATCGCATAAAGGTAAAGACCTAAGATTGTGAATATGAAGAGAAATTAGAACAAATTTTCCATCCATCCATAGTCAATAAATATGTAATATGCGAATGGGACTAAACTAAGATCCGGAACCAAATAAGTGTTCATGTGGGATGTTATATCCGGAATAATATGACTTCCAAAATGTCGGGGACCTGCACATCCAATTTGGTTTAGTTGTGCTCGTAATCCCGGGCGTCCACTGAAAATAAGTATCATCACACTAACCTCAGACTTTCTGCATCTATCGTTAAGGTAATCCCAAAGGATCTTTGTGGATTTACCCACCGTTTCATTATTCCAAGAGTCCTCTCTCTCTCTCGCCCATATTTCAGCATTCTTTGCGTCGAATGGTTTCGTGTTCGTCAAGTTAACTACTCCCAGCCCGCTTCCCTTTCGTGGCCTGATCTTAGATTTAACCATATCACCTTAATTACCTTCTGACTGTCGGTAAATGCATAAAAAATATAATAATTACTTATACCTTATGTCCATTCCGGTGTTACATCGAGTTTATGCGTCTGTTGGGGGTTCGTTATATCTCTTTTCGACCGGCACTTTTTCGACTGTCGGAGTAGTGTTCTTGCTACTTGTCATACCTCAACGTGATCACCTGGTAAGAGATTAAATAGCTCGAGTACTTCAGCAATGTGATTGTACATGGATCGGCAAAAATTGCCACCTGAGTGTTCTTCATCGAAGTCATTCGGGGGCGCGTGATAGACCGTTTTCAAGTATACTCAGTGTATGAGAAAGACCATCGTCAAATAAGGCCGTCAAGGCAGGTGTTCATGTTAAGCAATTATACATTATTGTCCCGACAGACTATAGGTATTGGTAACACCTATTTTCCCCCAGATTGTAATAATACTAAGAAAGGGAATGATCATCAAGGTAACATGCCAAGAGGGGTCGTGGGAGCGTGATAGACCGTTATCAAGTCTACTCAGTGGATGAGAAAGACCATCGTCAAATAAGGCCGTCAAGGCAGGTGTTCATGTTAAGCAACTATACATTATTATCCCGACAGACTGTAGGTATTGGTAGCACCTATTTTCCCCCAGATTGTAATAACACTGATCGTCAAGGTAACATGCCAAGAGGGGTCTTGGATGTAAAAATTGCTGATTTCATGGCAATGCTTTTCATACACATTCGCAAATTGCAATGTGTCATATTGACGACATTATCTTCTTAATGCTATAGACCAAGTGCTACAGACAGTGACACGTCCAGCAGGAATCTGTACTGAGTTGCCAGAATAGATTTCTGCTGTATACACATCTGATGATCTGCTGTATACACAACAGAGATTTGAGCATGAACGAAAGGTTAAAAAAATATAATACTCACAAACTCAATTAAAAACGGACGATTTTAATAATTCCACCAAACTTATTTTTACATTTTAAAATTTAACAAACAAATACTTTTATTAATCATCTAATTCATAAACTTCAACTTTATTCTTTCTCCAATTTTACGGTCAATGTCATAGCGAAAGCAATTTCACCAGCTGAAATCCCCTCCATCTTATAGAAACCCATGCGCATGTGTGAGGGAAAATTATCGCTTGGCAGTATACAGTTTTCGCAAATCATACGACGCTTCGTTAAAGGTTGCACAAATTTATTTTCGAAATCTATGGGATTTTCGCAACATTTCTTCACCGCATCCATTAAATAATTTTTATAAAGAAAATTTACTCCATCCGTGAAGACAGTGCGCGGTATATGGAAGGGTGTCAACATATAGGAAATGGCATTGGAACTGTAGTAGATATTAACCCAACCCTTGGCATTATCGGTATTGATGTCTTCTTTGAATTCAAGAAATCCACTAATAGCAAAAGTTCCACGTGTAGGTTGTGAAATCTGCCATTCCATATCACAATTATTTTTACTTGTTACATTCCACTCGACATCTATGATGTCTACAATGTACTGCGGTTTCTGTAAGAAAAGCTATATTATATATATTTCTTTTGGACTTTGTTGAAAAGCCTAAACGTAAGAAATATAACCGATTTGAAATTCGTGTTAATTTCTCTTTTTTTCTTACCGCTTGGATAATAGTTATTAAGCAAATTACAAATACGTTTATTACCGAGAAAATCATTTTTAGTTTGTTGCAATTTTTACGATTTTTCATTATTTATATTAAAAACTTTTTAAAATCTATTATAGTTTTAAAGCGTGTTTGTTAAAAATTTACATTTTTATAAATTTTAACAAAATTATTTTTATCAAATTCAATTTATCTATAAAGTTGTTAAACATTTTTATAGCCTAATAATTAAAAGTTTCAAATCAGATTTTTGAAATTGTTAAAAAAATTATGCCGACACTGGAATTACTAATTTTGTCTTTCCGTTTTTAACACGTCAAAATATTATTCATAGACCCACATATATTATAGATTCTTAGATCCACTTTTGTACACCTTTGGTCCCATTAAAATGGATCCTTAACCTCAAACTACTTGGACAACTATGTGTCCATAGGAGATGTAGAAATGAACTAGTCTGTGTTGCGAATGAACGAATCAATCATGCGAATACCGACTCTAATGAAGTCCATTCAACTGTTCAAAAAGAGCTGCTTATGCTAACCGTACTAGACTTGTACAATGCAGGATAAAGAGAATGTATTCGATCGTTCCATTTTCATCCTCATTCTCACAACAGAAGAATGAACGAATCAATCATGCGAAAACCGACTCTAATGAAGTCCCCTCAACTGTTCAAAAAGAGCTACGTATGGTAACATTACTAGACTCGACACTGGGATTACTAATTTTGTCTTTCCGTTTTTAACACGTCAAAATATTAATCATAGACCCACATATATTATAGATACTTAGACCCAATTTTGTACACCTTTAGTGCCATTAAAATGGATCCTCAACCTCAAACTACTTGGACAACTATGTGTCCATAGGAGATGTAGACTCTAATGAAGTCCATTCAACTGTTTAAAAAGAGCTGCTTATGCTAACCGTACTAGACTTGTACAATGCAGGATATAGGGAATGTATTCGATCGTTCCTTTTTCATCCTCATTCTCACAACAGAAGAATGAACGAATCAATCATGCGAATACCGAATTTAATGAAGTCCACTCAACTGTTCAAAAAGAGATACGTATGGTAACATTACTAGACTCGAACAAAGCTGGACAGAGGGAATGTATTCAATCGTTCCCTTTTCATTCTCATTCTCACAACAGAAGGGGAGTTCATTGCCATTAATCGTAGCCACTCTCGTGAGACGGCCATTCAAAATTGATATCGAGAAAGTGATTATAGATGATCAACTGGTCTGACCAAACCTGTATAGTTCCTGTTGTATAAGTAAGGAAGCGGAGTTTGGACTAATTTTTTATGTAGACAAAAACTAGTTTAAGCGGTTCATCCGCAACATCAATAACATCCGAAAAAAACTTTTGTAATTTGTAGATGCTTGATATTTTATGAACAATATTACTCTAATTGACGCTTCATTGATCACATGTCTAGAACAAAATTATTTTCAGCAACTAGTGCATCAGAACAAAAAGGGTACATGAAGTCATGTTCTGAGACGTTTCTTAAAAAATGCAGCACTGATCAAAGAGTATGAGTTCCCCCCGTTAAGAAGTAGTAGAGGAAAATGTGGATTCTTAATTTGTAGAAGATAGTTGTAGTGAAGATGCCGATAAATGGTAACATGGTGAATGGCATTTGGCAACGGATCAAAATTATAACCGCCTTTAGCCAAAATAATAAATTTTGACTCAGTCCTTTTCTCACAATAGATTCGGATAATTCACCGCATATCCTATAGCGCCTCATTCTTTGCATGAACAATATTTGTCTGAATGGTGCTTTACTGATCCCTAAGTTTAAAAATTTCCAGAGACGAATCCCAGAAACTAAATTTCGAAAATTCTGGTATATCTACTAGGACAGCCTTGCATCAATCAAGTCTCTTAACTCCAACGTTATTAAGTCGAAATGTCTTCTCAATTGCATTCAATCATGGGAACAACTGACACAACATCACGCTAAGTTGATGAGGGCATCCGGGGAAATATCTGATGAATGTGCAACCAAAGGTTGTCCCTATCGAAATTAATGGATGACTGGGTTTTGAGTGACTCGGAACTAATGTGATCAAATATCACCACTTGTAGAATATAGAGACTGTTGTGGTCCACTCTGACAAAGAACTAAGACTCTCTTATCTTTAAGTAAGAACTCGATTAGGCTTCTCGTGGGTGCAATTACTGGGCACTGTATGATTGGACGTATGGAATACTCACGTTATAGCTACTGTAGAAGTCGTTTGGATGAGGAATCGGTATAATACATTTTATGTGACTGTCCATCCTTACAGGAGCACAGACTCCTCTAACTTGGTAGAGCTCTTTTCATTAATCTAAACTGTCTCAGAGATTCTCACGGGGACCCGCAGGAATCATGTAATCAACTAATCAACTCTTCATAGGGAGGGAAACCATTATCCTTTATGTTCAAACTCTCAACACAAGAGAATGGTAATTCTAAAGATATCAAAATGGGCCACAAGGCCTCCTCGGGCAACCCACTTAACCTAATGTAGCAGTGCTATGGTCAGTTGTTGCCAGCTCCTTTTGAATTTAGCCTAACCGCCGAGTTAAGTACCGGAGTACTCTTAGTACTCCACCAAATTTAGTAATGTTTGAAAATATTGAGAAATGGTAATAATGTAGATGGTAGATTAGGTTATCATAGGTAGCCTAATCTGGCTTTACCTGGGTCCAAGTTGGGAATTCAAGATTCACACCCAATCTGATAAATTAATGAATGCAAAGAGGCGTTTAATTGGAATATTCGACAAATCGGATAGATCGCCAAAGTAGGCCGACCCAAGCGCACGAATACGGATCTCTGCCAATTACAGATAAGATGAGATATAGTTTCCTCTTCATTCTAACAACTCCTACAGAATTCATTGATAGAAAAATCAATGCCCCCGGGCATGTTTCCTTGATGATAGGTGCTACCAGTACCTGTAGTCTGCCGGGACTATAAATTGGCGATGTCACTGGCTGGTCAGTTGATTGAGGTTCCTTCGGGATCCACATAGTGGCTGTGGTTTAAACCCAAATTCGCGGGAAGAGATTGTTCTTTTAAGGGCTGATATACCCTATATATAATGCGTTGGCTAATTCTCTATTCAAATGACACAGGACTGTGTACAAAGCAGAATATGCTGGATTCCTGAACCTAATCTATATTTCTTACCGGTCGTGTAGTAGGTAGCCGGTATATGCTGGTGAATTGTCAGGTTAGCGTTCAGTCATTCCGTAGAAAGATCTTTATGATCATGGGAATGGATGATGAGAATGTTTGTAGGAATAGAGCATTCCTCATAACATTAATAGGGTGTTTTCACCTGCTGTTGGTACGCCCCTTCTATTGACTCTAACCAGTGATTGCCATTTCCTTTGTAGGGGTTAGATTGAGCTTGCACATGACATTTGTCCTTCCCCAACGGCGCTACTATGGTAAGAGATTAGATAGCTCGAGTATTTCAGCAAAGTGCTTGTTGTACGAAAATTTCCACCTGATTTCTTCATTGAAGATTGAAGGGACGATGGTAGACCGTTCTCAAGGCTACCCAGTGGATGAAAAAAACCACCGTGAGATAGGCCAACACGGCAGGTACTCACGTAAAGCACTTGGGCATTCTTGCCAGAGTGTCAGCAACATTGTTGCCATACGTGCTCCTGTGTCCCCTGACCCAAATTAGGGTGATGTTCGAATGTCTCGCCATTTCGTTGAGAGACGCCCCACAGTGGTATAGGAAAAAAAAAAGAGGGAAATAATTCGGTAACTTCTAAACGGTTAATCCGATTTTAATGAAATTTGGTGTGCACAAAGAGGAGGTGTTGTCGAGTTTAGGTTTTGAATTTGGACCTTATAGGCCAACCAGGGGCCCGGCGGGGGGTCATCAAATTAGGACACCTCGGCTATGTTAAATTTTTAAAACGATCCTATTTCTTCATTTGAGTTCCGATTTAAAAAAAATTTCGTATATAGAATCTCCTCATCGAGCACTATAAAAAATGTTGTCATAGCAGTAAATTATCTCTTATAGTTTAGGAGATATTCGCATTTGAAAATTAAAATTTTAAAATTTTTACCGTCCTTACTTTAGTTTTTTTTGATAATAGCAGGTCCAAATATTCCCGATTTTCGCCATTTTGTTTTATTCGCTTAACAAAAAGTTTATATATCAAGCAGTGAAAGAATTATGTAAAAATCATGACTGAGTCCAAAGTTATAGGCAATTAAATTTAAAAAATTAAAAAAAGGCGATTTTTTGTCATTTTTTTGGGAAAAAAGTATCTTTTTCTTTTTAAGTTATCTAAAAAGTTTCTAAGAAGATGTATATAGAATTTATACTTTTTGGAAAGCTGACTTTACTTAAAGTACGATAAATGAAACAAAACCTAAAAATTTTTGATACCGAGGGGACCAGGTCCATCCAAAAAAACCCTATTTTTTATGGAAAATTAAATTTTGAGCAAAAATTCTCAAATCGCATAGTCGATATCAAATTATAGTGACCTGTTTTATATGACCCAATATGTTCTTAATCATTTTGTAACGGGTTTCGATAACCCCGCCCCTGGTATGGATATAATAGGCAAAAAACTAAAAAATCCCATTTTTGGGATTTTTTAAAACTTTTTTGGGAATTCCGGGATTTCTAATAAGAAAATTCGAAATTTTGATTTAATTTTGGATTTTAAGTAAAAAAATCTACCTAACTGTAAAATTTCATCAAAAAATATTCATAAATAAAATTTTTATTGCAATTAGAAAAATTTGTATCTTCGCAAAAACTGAATAAAAAACATTTTTTAATTTTTTTTAAAAAAAGTATTCCGCGAATTTTTTAATTTTCAAAAATTATATACAGTTTTGAAAAATAGACAAAATTACCTTTCCATTGATATATAACATGCCTACCTAATGTTTTTTAAGTGACAAATTAATTAGGGAAAACTCAACATCTTTTAGAAAATTTGCCTAGCACTATTATTTTCATCCATAAGGTTAACTCTTAAATTTGTTACATATATGGAT